AGAAAAGGGTCTTCGTCGAGCTTGAGGCGCTCCTCCAACGCCCACAAATTTTGGACATCAGTTCTCTACACATCATGTAAGCCCATTCTCTTATTTTTCTGAATCGATACTAATTAGCTTCCAGCGCTTATGAAAGCCTTCAGCACCCCAGGCCTCGAGAGCTTCTTACCGACTTTACTTACCCACTCGAACCAGCACCTCCGCCTGGTACTCTGGCAGGCTTTTTGTTCCCTGGTTACCCCTTGCCAGATTCGCAACCCTCAATCCCATATCCCGCTCCTTTTCGTGCACAGACTCCGGCCATTGCAGGGCCATCTACTCCGCTTCCTAACTTGGTAGATATCCCGATGACCCCAGCTTGGAACCCAAGCTCACAAACCCCGCGCCGTGGTAATGATGGTAATTATGTTTCTGTTAGAAAGTCAATAGATACTGACAATTGTGGCAGCCTCTTCTCCATATTGGCTCAGAGATGGCTGCTTCGCCAACATGAGACTCAGCCTTCGTCTCATCAACACCAAACCTAATTTTCACAAGGGCGAGCACGAAGATAAGTGTGGGGAGTTCAAGGGAGTGGTCGGAGATGCGGTCAAGGTCCAGCTAGGCTTCAAAGTGTTGGAAGTGCCATTTCCATACCTTATACCTGAAAGGCCGGAGTGCAAATCCCAGGTCGTTACCGCATTTACCGGTCCACATAAGGGGTCGCAGTTTAGAATTAAGGAGTTTGGCGAAGAATTTTGTGGCTGCTCGATTTTGAGATCAACAACGCTTTTGAGAAAGGTTGATGTCAAAATCGCCACCAATGAACTGGTAGTCACCCGAGACAGTCGGCGATAAACTACATATACCGTAGATATATTACAACTGCCTTAGAGAGATTTTTTTGTATGTTTTACACATATCTTGATGGCAAGGTATATATTCTTGATCTTATTGCAAGACTTTGAGGCTTGAGATGACTGAACGAACGAACTTAAACACTCACGATTTATGACTGGCTTAGTCAGCTCCAGCCGGCTTCTTAGCCGGAGCTGGAACTAGCCGAGCTGTGGGAGCCATCACTCGGCGGTTCTGGCTGGGCTTCGGCTAAACTCGGCTTGGCTCCTGACTTGAGCTGGCTCTGAGCCGGAGCCGCGGCAACACTAGACCCAATCCAACCCGCAAAAATAGAAAACAATCGCAACAACCACCAACCAAGAGGGGGGAATAGACGACGCCCAAAAAGAAAAACGAAAAACTCACCGCCAACATCCAACATACACTCCGGAATCAACGTAGCAAGCTCATTAATCTTCTCATTAATATTATCCCTCCGGCGCCGCTCCAGCATTATGGCTTTCCCTCCTCCTCCTTCTTTTCTCGTGGGCTAGGAGGGCTTGTTTGTCGCCTACTTGCTGCTGCTGCCCTCCCTGTTGTTGGCCCTGTTGTCCCCCCTGTTGTGCTTGTTGTGGTGCACCTGAGGAAGGAGGAGGATGGGAAGGAGGGGGGAGCTGTACTTGATTTTGAGCTTGACCTTGTTGAGGGGTCAGAGGATCGTAAGAAGGGAGCGACATCAAATTGACAGCTTGCGTGTCTAGCCCCTTCGGCAACGAATGCGAATGCGAATGCGCATGGTGGTGGGCGTGGTGTAAAGGCGGAAGGTGGTGATGCATATCTTGAGATGAAGAAAGCACGAAAGGGGTGTATTGTTGATGATGGTCGTTGGGTGTGGGGAGTGAATATTCTGAGGCTCTGTTTTCCCTAGTCAGCTTCAAAGGGAAGTGAAGTGAAAAACAAATGAAAGAGGCTTACGAGCTCTGACTCTGTCCAGCCAAATACCACCCATTCCCCCCTCCCCCTGCCGCTCCTGCTCCCCCACTATTCGAAGAAGTACTCAACGGAATACCAGCATGCGCCATCCCACTCAAACTACCCATCCTACTCCCAGGAATAACAATCGCATGCGGCCTCCCATGTCCATGCGCATGATGAACACCAAAAGGCGGCAGGGGAAGTCCCACTAATACTATTATTTCTTCTAGTCCTAGTGGTCCTCGCAGGTCCTACACCCCCCGCCCCATTCGCCACAGGGGGGAAAGGCGGGGCGGAGCTAGACGATGGAGGTCTGGATCTGGAATGGGAGCGCGATCCTGGGGAGGGCGTGTGTCGTGATAAGTGGTGAGGATGGAACGATGATGGTGGTGGGTTTGCGGGTGGGAGTTGTGGGGAGGAAGGAGATGGGGGGTCGTACCGCATCGTGCTGTTTATTGCGGGCAGGGTGGAGTTGAATGATGGGTGTTGTTGGTATGTTTCGTGGAGGCTGCTTGGTTGACTACCCGCCCCATTGGCGGTGGTGGTTGTGGAGGATGAGGAAAAGTGTGTGGGGAATGCTGATGAAGCTGTGGATGATGCGCTGGACGCGGAGACGTCGAATATGTTGTGTGTGCAGTATGCGGAGGTGGGGTTTTCGTAAGCCGTTGGATCCTCGTATTGTTGTTGGTGCTGGTGCTGTTGTGGGTGGTGATGAGCGTGATGATGAGCGTGATGATGATGGTGGTGGCCGTTAGGCGACGATCGATCACCACCTGGGCCACCCAACAATGAGGCCATCGACAACTCGTCGTTGAACTCCACATTCGCAGCAGCCACAGACGTGGGGAACTTTCGAAAAGGATCGGGAAGGTCGAACCCATGATGTTGTTGATGCATCGTCGTCGAACCCCCCGAGGCCATCGTCGCGTGGTGGGGTTTTCATACGCCGTTGCGTTTTCATACTGCTGCTGGTGCTGGTGGTGGTGAGTGTGATGGGGGTCATTAGGTGTCGATCGATCATCGGGTCCACCAAGAGTGTAACCGTGAGCAACTCGTCGTTAAACTCCACATTCGCAGCAGCAACCACATTCACTGACGAAGAGAACTTGCAAAGGGATCGGGAAGGTCGAATGCATGATGTTGATGTTGAGCTTGCGCACCTCAACCCCTCCCCGGACATGTCACGTGACTTAACACGTGTAAGAAATAGTCACATGTACTATACCCTTAGCATCTATTCTACACGAAACAGGCCCGCATACACCCTATACGCGTCGTAATGATACCTAATGATGACAAGAACACTTCCATACCTTCTGCGAAGCAGTGCTCACAGTCAAAATGTAAGACCATGCTTCCACCGGGGTCAACATACAAAACCTGTGATAAATGCCACAATAGCAGCAAGCTTCGCAAACAAAGAAAGCGGAAAAGAGAGAAGGAGGAGGAGGAGGAGGAGGAGGAGGGGGTCTCTCACCGGCAGGTCTCCCTTCATGTAACAGCTGAAAATGGTGGGCCGGGAGAGCGAAATATCACGTACATCGTCATTGATGATGATCATGAGAAGTCATCTGAAGAAGACGAGGTAATTATTAATTCATCTCATTTTAACGAAACAAATCCTTACATCCATTCTGTAGAGCAATGCCCCTGTTATATTTCAAGATAGCGAGGCAATGATGAAGAGTCTAAAAAATGTGTTTAAAATGGCCAAGCACGTCTTTTTTCATGGAAACTACACAATACCAGTTGACCCCTTGGTAACGGACAAAGAACGTGTCCAGATGACGGCGCATGATTTATGGAAGGCTACAGGTTATCGCTTCAGGTATGTGAGCTATGGAATTCTAAAGAGAGAGCGTACCAAATTCATATTTGACAAGGGTTAAGGAAAATAAAGCCCTTGCGACAGGCCACAAGACACGATATTGGTGTTGTCAGGACCAAGACCGAAAGCAAAAAAGTCGACCAAGCCAGAGAGAGGGTGCAAAACATCGCGACGCACTAGGGATGCATCGCTATGAATGCAAGAGCAAGCTTAATATCTCGTGTCGAAGAATTGTGAGTTATGGAAACGACACACGCACCGTAACAATTTGGCTTGAACATCATAAATGGCACACACCATACTACGATGTTTCCCTCCCACCCAATGCTGCGGCCATGATACGCAAAGATCTAGAATGGACAAGCCCGAGCGAGATGGCAAAGAAAGTGCTGGGCATATTCCCAGCAGTTTCACGTCAACAGGTTCACAAAGCCTGGACGACGATGAGCGAAACTCTGTGGAAAAGAGATGCAGAACAGCTATCCTCAGTCAAGCTATTTCTATCGGAGTGCAAAGACGATGCGAACCTTCTCGATATTCCAAATTTGGAGGGAGTCGAGCAGGTGGCATGGGTGATGCGAAAGATTATTGGACGCTTGCGTGGAAAAGTTGTGGAAATTGGTCTGGATGCCACATGTAAGTAAGCTTATAAAATATGAACGATAAATTTTATGACCTTTCGAAACTCCTAGACAACACAAATTCGAAGCACCTCGAGTTGTACACCATCCTTGGTGAATATGACAACACCAGCTTTCCTCTATCATATTGCTTGCTGTCAACAGCAACATCAGTTGAAGAGGGAAAGCGTATAAAAGCCTTGGAGGCTTGGGGAATGATCCTACGTGACAAATATGGTCTGATTCCCAGGTTTGTCCACACAGATAAAGACATGGGCGAGATTGGAATGAGCAGGCGAGTCTGGCCATCTGCAAAGCACCAGTTATGCTGGTGGCACGAAAAGGAGGCGGTCCGAAAAAGACTCAAGGGCAATTTACCCACCTCGCCTTACAACCTATCGAGAGTGCAATCGGAATACCGTTTTATTGAGTCTGGGTTCAAGCCCCATGGCCGAAGTGACGCCACAGATGTTGAAGGAACTGTTCCAGGAGAGGTTCAGCAAGGAGAACCTCGGATGAATGGCACGAACACACCTGAAGATAATCCCAATTCTATCAAACTTCGCATTCCGATGTCTCAGGCTATCAAAACTCCTGTGCCGACAGAGCTCTTTACTCTCCCCCACCTATTCCTACCGGACTCCTACTGGATTCCCGGAATCCTACCGGACTGGACTAGGACTGGGACACATTTTATGTTGGCTGATCACCATACAAATTTTGTATCCTAGTCCTAGTGGAGTCCTAGTAAATTCCTACCGGACTGAACCCAAATCACCAGGAATTGTGGAATTCTACTGGATTTTTAAGGAATGAGTCCAGTAGGAGTCCAGTACAAGGAGTCCAGTAGGAGTCCAGTAGGAATTTCCGGGGACAGGGAGCCCAGTAGGACCAGCAGTTTGTCACTGTTGTTGTTATTATATAATATAATAAAAAAGCGCAACCTGACAGAATTGAACTCTCGACCTTATGGACATAGGGACAATACTATAGAGACGAGCACTTTACCAGTTACACTAGGAAGGCATTATTATAGGTCATTATTATATGCTCTATATACCAACCTACTGACCTCCTTCCTAGAAAGGACGTCGGCGAATTCCGCGAGTGGGAATTTCGCCCAAACCCAACAACACTCGACAACACCACCATCACCACCCTCTTGCTCACCCACCACGAACACGTCGCCCACCACGACCACAACGGACGACGACAACACGCGACCACGACAACAACGACGGCCACGACGGGGATCCTCAGAGTCGACC